GGGTGTTTTTTCCTATAAACCTCTTGCAGATAGCCATTAAGCGCCTACTTGATGACAGGCTCTACCAAAAGATATTGCTCGTTTCCAAATATTCATTCATTTACTTGCCGTTCATCAGAACCATTATGGCACCTTAGATTGATATTCCCACAAAACCGTTCAGGTTTTTTGATATCCATACATCCATAAAGTTGAACATTTTTCGTTGTTCAGGAACTAAACAAACATCCACACTATATTCACAGCGATTAAGCAATTCCCAAATATATGCCTTAAAGCTACCAGCAAACCTAAAATCTGCAAAAAAAACTAGAAATTTGCGATATTTTTCTTTTTTCACGAGTACACATTCTAGGTTATATTTATATTAGACATTATTTGAATACAGCTCATTATTGCATTTCAAGGAGTGACACATGTGTGGGATCTGTCAACTCTTGGTACCAGTCACAAAACATACTCTGAAGGTTTAATTCCATGCTACTTAATGACAACACGGTGACTTGTGGGGTTTGCAGCGGCCATTTTGTGAGGGTGCGACAGGGTTGCCAGATTGTGCATTAATATCCCGTTTCACCCTCCTGGTCCCAGTGGAGTAAGTTCCGCCAACTGTTGAAATATACTCTACTATGCTTTATAAGACTATTCGTGATATTGATAAAATGCAAATGAAAATTTAAAATTATTTCCATGACGCCACAAAATAGCTCCATCGGTACCTCGGGTTATACATCTTGACAGTAGGAATGTTCGATACGATCCTATATTTAGAAGTATCAATACATTTCACGAGTATCGTCATCTTTTGATCCGGACTGTGTCAGAAAGAGTGACTGCCATTTGGCTGCGACATTCCCTGCCAAATCAGACATATCTTTCATCATTTTCAAAGAAATTGTACAAAATCTTCAAATTTGTGAAGCTAGCGAGTTTCACTTCATACGTTGTTACCAGACATGCCCAAATCATCAGTAGCTGCCGTAATACTCATCCCGACCACTGCATCCCCACGGCTAGGCGACCTGTACCTATGTTAAATTTTGTATTGATAGGGTAGCGGGTTATGCTATAAATCATATGTCACAGTGTTTGTGCACTGATTGCAACGGTTAGATGATACCAAAAATATTTTCATAAATAGGAGATCTCTCATAATCCGGATCGAACAATCCACCAAAGGTGCTCATAATCATGATACCTAGTAAATTTACATGAAAAATCCTCTGCATGTAGGTACATAAGAGCTTTGATGATACAACACATCTGCTAAAAATGATCATAATCAGGATAGTAAACTATGACGAAGGTCCACTGTATGTAAGAATTTTCAGATACTTCATTTGCAATTTGATAACAGACCATGAAGGTGTCCACATTTTTCAAATATTCTTCAATAAGTGTTATCAGTCTAGCTCCAACTATCATAAGTACTATGTTTGTATTCCTACTTTAAATTCAAAAGCAGCAAATGTAAAAGATTCATTTCGCCTCCTCCACCACGGGACGTGATCGTCGTTAGACGTGACAACCCTGCGAGTGACATATAGATAACCCCACCAGTGAATAAACATTCTTACACATATTGTCTGTGTTTTAGGATGGAGAGGACAATGTTTTTATTGCTTTGAAGACATTTATTAACCCGTAAATTAATAAATGATTACTATTAAGATGTAAAGGAAGATGAGGAATTGGATGGAATGTATTTTATATTCTACTTTCTTGCAAAATACAGACAAATCCACACTATTCAACAGGTATGTAATGATAACAGTATATTGAACTTAAATTCGAGATTGCCATGCATTAACAAACGTCAAAATCTGCTTAACAACTAGAAAATGGACCTATTATTTGCCGCATTCCCATTGGCTTTTGGGGATAACTGATTGTTAAATGTAAATTTATAACACAAATCAAAATACAAGAAAGTTGACCTGGTTTCTCTGTGCAGAAGCATCATGTTGGAATCAAGAAGTGGTCTTGTTTATAATACAGTCGAATTTTAACGATTTCATTCAATACTTTAATAGAAATCACTGATATTCTGAGACCTTTGACAGCTTCTGTCAAATTCCATTTCGATAAGGTATTTTCCCATTGGTCCATAATATTAATGTCGGTGAAATCGGCCCTTAGTTTGTTTTAGCATTCCGTGCTAGTTTTCAACGAAATGAAAACTCGGTCGTCTCCATGAACTATTAATTAAAGCCCAAGAAAAAAAATCCTAAATAAAAAGTTCTATAGTCAACGCCAAACAAAGTGGCGTGCACGTCATCACGATAAAAATTCCCCGACCTAATGCCTAGGTTTCTATCACAAACAATTGCTCTATTGCAGTTTCATATTAATGTGATATATCAATTGTAAAATGGTCATTACTCTCTTATTATGGTTAATAGTCATATAAACATTGTTATTAAAATATCCCATAAGTTGCTTTCTGATAAATTTAGACGCATTATGCGAAATAAAATGTTTTGCAAACGCTCCAATCACTTATCGACATGTAAACGCACTAAACCGATTTCGCAGCGTTGACACATTGTCACCTTGAAACTTATTTAAACTGGGAACTGACATTTGTATTAATTTTGACACTGAATCAATTTGTGGCATTTCAAATCTTTATAAATCCTTTGGCCCCGCATACTGTAAATCAACAACTGTTTGTTTCAAAACAAAATTATTCATTTTGCGAGTAGATAAAGGCAATTTTGGTATATAAAGATGCCCAAACAGTTAAATAGTCGGTGTAAGGAACTCGTGGCCTCGTTAATGCACTACTTTGAGCAAGAAAGGGACAACAACGGGCCTTTGTTGCCTTTAAATGCTGTTCAAGAGGTAGGTTACTAATAATTATATGTAATGTACGTATATATTAATAATAGTGAAATTTTATTTCATTTTTTGTAGCGTGTTGCTGCTGCTTTAAAAATTAGTTTAAGGACAGTTAGTCGTATTTCCGAGGGTGTGAAAAGTGATGCAAATTTAGAATCGCCCAAGAAAAAGCGGAGTTATATTAAACGTGTAACCAACACAGCGACATTGGATACAAGTGCCATTCGAGAAGTGATCTATAATATGTATCACAAAAGTAAGATCTTATTATAATAACTTATCAGAAATTTGCATTAATTTGTTAACTAAATTATAATGTCATATTACACATGGTTTCAGAAGAACAAGTTACGATACAAACTTTATGGTCTCGATTAAGAGATAGGGTATTATTTGATGGTAGTGCCACGTCTTTAAGGCGGTTGCTTAGAGATCTTGGATTTAAGTGGCTTAAGGACAATCCGCGACGAGGGCTCATGGAACTACCAAGTATAGCTTTGAAAAGGGTGGAATTTCTAAGGCAATACAATCAAGCCAAGGTTGAGGCCTTATACCAGTTTGTCTTCCTCGATGAAACTTGGATATTTCAAAATGGGACCATAGGTCGCTCTTGGCAAAATGGAAACCAAAAAAGCGTGAAAGCTATTAAAACAGATGGTAAAAGGTATGTACTTTTACACAATTTGCACTATAAAATTTAAAACTAATATATTTTAGATACATCATATTACATGCTGGAAATGAAAATGGGTTTATTGAGGGTAGTGAAGCGATATTTTCTTCGAAAACAAAATTGAGCGATTACCATGGAGAGATGAACCAGGACAATTTTTTGAAATGGTTTCAACATCAGTTATTAGAAAAATTGGGGAGTCCATCTATGATTATACTGGATAACGCCCCTTATCACAGCATGATATTGAACAAAGTGCCCAACAATGCATGGACAAAAAAAAATATCCAAGACTGGTTGACAAATCAAAACATACCATTTTTAAACACAATGTTTAAAACAGAGCTATTGAGTATTGTTGTTCGGTACATAATGCTTCTTAATTATATATATTTTGGTCGACAGTTTATATTTCTTTTGTTTATTCCTATTCTTAAAATAACTGCTTTTTTAGAAACAAACCACCTAAAATATACGTGATTAATGAATTGGCGGAACAACATGGGCACAAAGTTCTTCGTCTGCCTCCTTACCATTGTATATTTAACCCTATTGAGTTAATTTGGGGCATAGCAAAAGGTTACTATAACAGACATATTGGTAGAGATGGTAACAGTGAAAAAGACTGTTTGGATATGTGGAACGAGGCTCTAGAAACGGTTACCCCAGACATGTGGAAAAATAGTGTTCGACATACTGAGCAAGAAATTTTTAAATGGTATGAAAGAGAACGAATTTTTGATCGACCAGACATCGAACCTTTAATAATCAACTTTGAGAGTGATGAAGATTCAGATTCAGACAGCGCTGAAGAAAGAAACTCCGACTAACTTTATTGTACAGAAAAAGCTTACACCAGTAGCTTACCTAATTTTAGAATGCATTTTTCTATATGAATTCTGTAAAATAAATACCATGCATAAAATTTGGAGGACCCCATTTGGATTTTTATTCAGTACCTTTAAGCTATCAATTAAATATGGTAGTTTCATAGTGTCATCTGATCAATAATTGTCATACTTAATGATTATGCAAGTACAGATCTATAATTTTATTATACTATTATTTTTTTTCTCATTTGCTTATAAACCTAGATATGTAAATAATAAATTTTATTATTTTACAAAAAGTTTGGCAACAATGTAAATTTTTCAACACACCCACCTTGATGACGTGCACGCCACTTTGTTTGGCGTTGACTATATATAGCCATAACAGGCAAAAAAGCAGCAAAGAGTGGGGATTTTTTGAAAAAACTCAAAAGTGGCAATATCTCGAAAACTAGAAACCTTTAACTAAGGTCATGTTGATTTTATCTTACCTCTCGAGGGACTATGGCATGTTATTTCTGGGACACCCTGTATAAAGCAGATACAGACCATTTCACGATTACAACACTTTTTGGCCTATCGTCGTTTGAAGTAATAATCGGTTAGCAGCTCTCGCATTATAACAGGCAATTATTATCAATCGTCATAATTTATAGCTTGGAACTAGCGTTGCCGCACTTAATAATCGTGGAAAAGATCCAAAGCGGTTGCGACACAATCGCAGCGCGAATTTAAAATTCAACACTTATCGGAAAGTTGCCGGGGTACCGGTCGGGGTAACTACCCGTAATTTCCAATGCATAATCTACCCGACCGAACCGTGATTAAATATATTTTTAGTGAACTTTATCGTCGTCGAGATCTTTCTTTGGAAAGCTATAACTAAATCCGACATGCAAGTGCTACCAGGCGATAATTTACTGCAGTTTCTGTATTTTGCCGGGCATAGGTGGCGGAATAGGGTTTATTTGTCGGAGTGCCGTAGTTGGCAAGTTCACTGAAAGGTACCCAACTAACAATTATCACTCCTATTAGAGTTGCAAGAATGATTATGCAGTATTCCTTAAACAGCATTGTATACTGTAAGAACATTGGCAAATCCCTCTAAGAACAGCTATACAAGCGGAATGGGCACACCTAATAGGACACTTCAGTCATTTACGAGGTTTAATAAGGGCTGCAGGTAACAGTTATAAAACAAAAGTGTAAGCCTCTTGCAGCCACTATAGGACATTTGCGTCAGTGCAAGATTCAGTTTTTGTCAACTATACAACTATTCTGTTACGTGATTATACTTTATTGCAACCAAACTATTTCTTATGTATTGTATAGACGAAGTGAAGAATATATAACTAACACATTACAGTCACCTTGTTTACTTACATATCGCCCATTGTGAATTTCATACACAGGTATATGATAAACTTCTACACTGTGATATAGGGCTATTGAATTACTTGCGCATCAAATTTTATTGTGATTATAGTGCAAATTACTTACCCAATTTCTACGGGCTTCGTATTTGATTCATATTTTGACAATGATCAAAAGTATGTCTAGATTTTTAAGATGGAAAACTGAACTTATCTGCGTTATATCTTCCGCAAATCCTATATTTAGACACAATTACACTAATGTTTATCACTTTATATCTGTAATTTCGAACTGAAACATAATTATTTAATATTAAATAGAGGAATAAATGTTTGCCCAATATGGCGGGTGGTTGTGTACAATCATGGCATCGTCCATGTTGTCTTTAGGTTATTAGAATATTTTGGTCTTGCCTGCAGTTGTTGTACAACAATTTGACAAATGTCTGAAATGAAATACCGTCAGAGTCGAATGATTCACCCAGAATTTGTACCAGCTCTATATCTTCTGTTTGAACAGTTGATAAAACCTTTTGAACCAATATGCATGCATTGTTTGTCGTAAAACATTGATTATGGCATTTTAGCATTTTACAAAAATATGTCAGCATAAAGTTAGGTTATGATGAAGTTGATTACCAACATATTTAGCATATGTACAGCCTTTAACAGTTACTAAACAACAGTTGTATAAGTGCTTCCGTTGGAGCAATTTGTTGGCTAAAGTAGTAAATTGCACAGCAAAACAACAAGGCTCGGCCTTTTTTTATAAACGTTACCATTTTTACTAACGTGCAAATATGCCGTATAAAATAGTTGTATAAACGTTTACGCCACAATTAAAAATTTGCCCTATAAGGTGTTGTATAACTATGCTATAAGAATATTTTAAACACTTCATTTTAGAGCAAATATGTTGCAGAAAGCAAATCTGCATTCCACACCACATTAAGCCAGCATTTTTGTGTTCAGGCAACAACAATAGAGAGCTTTTGTGGCTGAACGGTTCTTTTACCAAAAGCTTATACCACTGCTTTGCTAGTTGGGTAGTGATATAAGTGCTGTCTAAAGTATTTGAAAAGCTTATGTATAAGCAAATCATTACTTATTTCACAGATAATAATTTATTACCCAAGTTGCAGTCTGGATTCCGTAAAGGGTTTGGTACTGCCACGGCTCTGTTTCTCTTTTGGCTGCGGACAAGGGTGAAACTCCGGCATTGGTGTTGCTGGACTTTAGCGAGGCCTTCGATACCCTGAACAATGCATTGCTGTGTGCAAAACTTTTCTACTATGGATTTAAACTTAAAACGATTCAACTTATTCGTAGTTATTTGGATGACAGATCGCAGTCGGTCTCAATTGATGGGCTTAAATCAAAACCCTTGAACGTGGATAGAGGAGTTCCTCAGGGATCACTTTTGGGTCCTTTATTTTTTATCATTTTTACTGCTGATATGTCGCAGTGCTTTGGTGATATAAAAAATCATAGATACGCTGACGATACACAGATTCAGCTCTCTTTTGCTAAGTCGGACGCAATTGAAGCGGCTAGGAGGCTAAACGAGTGTTTGGATTCAGTTTCTAAATACACTTTTAATCATGGCTTGAAATTGAATCCTAGTAAATCAGCCATAATCTACTTTAGGCGTCTGTAAACTTCGCGATAGCACTGGATGGTGTGGCAATACCGGTTGTTGAGGAATATAAAAACTTGGGCGTTATCTTTGATAACAAGCTTAGATTCTGAAGTAATGTGTCTAGGCTTCTACTAAAAGCCTATTTTAATCTTCGCAATATTTACAAAAGTAAACATATTCTTAGTTTCAAGTTAAAAAAGGTTCTCTGCGAAGCACTGGTCTTGTGTCACCTTAACTATTGCAACTTTGTGTATGGTCCTTGCTTAGATGTATTTACTAAGTATAAACTCCAAAAAGTGCAGAATTCTTGCATACGACTTATTTACCAGCTTAGACGTCACGATCATGTCAGTCATAAACTTTCCGAACTGAAATGGTTGAATCTTTCCAATCGAGAAAAGCTGCATTTTGCTTACTTTCTTCATAAATTGATTAAAACTAAAAGCCCTCCATATCTGACTGAAAAATTAACTCGTAGAAATCTGATTCACTCTCGTGCAACACGCTTTAACGTACTTGATCAAATACCTAAAATAACTAAAACCATGACTCAAAGCTCATTTTCCTATACATCAGTGAAACTTCTAACCCAATACAATATAGGTTAATTTGAAGATATGTCTCCTAATATGTTCAAACGAAAACTGAAGCAACTGCTTCTGTGAAGTATAATTTGTTTATTATTGCTTATTTTCTTTGTATACGTACATCTGTAGCTATTATTGTTCATTGTTGTTATGTAATATTCTAAAATTAATGTAATGTAAAACTTGTTTGTTGTCATATTACTTTTCTTTTTGGCTTGTTGTTACTTTTTACATGCTCGGTTAAGTTAACAGCATAGCTAGCCTTCGCCGAGTTTAAAATAAAGGCGTTTTTATTTATTTATTATAAGCCTTTGAAATGCGTGAATTAATAAAATTATCAGGAACATTATAAAATTCGAAGCTCCACCGGATCGAACCACGCATATCGCCTTTTCGCTCGACGCCAAGGGTCCTCACCCCGTCGACGTCCCGAAAGTGTCCATGACCTGCCTTTTGCTTGAAAATAAACAAAACACGCACCAAATGTAAACGACTTGAAACCAATTACACTGATCAACAGTCAAAAAATATCCTAAATAAAATCAACAAAATATTACTATTTTTAATGTGCTAAAACCGGAATGAAACTTATTTTTTCAATATTAGTTCAAGTTTTAGAGATACGGTAATTATATGTGTTCCTGCTGTGACAGTTTTAATATACTGTAATTCACAAGAATGCACGTGCTACATTTTTATATTCGGCAAGGAAAAATGATGTAATCGGCATGATTGTGTTACGTTATACATACGTGTACATTATATTGTTTTATATTAGCCATTTTTTCCTCAGTTGGCTGACAGTGTTCATGCAAGATGTCTCGAAAGTGTGTAAACAATCCAGATCAGTTTTGTTACGCCTGTGGTGATGTGACTTTTGCGTCTCAGAGACGGTCTATTACTCCACTAATAACAAAGGCATATCAGCCTTATTTCGGTTGTAAACTTGGTGATCAAGACAAACAGTGGGCACCCCACATCTGCTGTAATACATGTGCTTCAAGTCTGAGGAGCTGGTTAAATGGCAAAAAACGGTCTATGCGCTTTGCTGTCCCAATGGTTTGGAGAGAGCCTACAAATCATAATAATGATTGTTACTTTTGCATGGTACCTTGTGTTGGACAAGCCACAGGTATGTCCAAGAAAAAAAAAATGGGTTATTAACTACCCAAACATACCATCTGCGATGAGACCTGTGCCTCGCAGTGACGAAAATCCTATTCCAAAACCCCCAGAATCCTACACTTGCGAATCAGAAAACGAATCAGATCATGGCGATCGAGTGATTCGTCAGGAAAAAGATATGCCATCAACGTCAAGAGATTCTGATTTTATACCGAGCTCGTCATGCCACCAACCGCACAAAATAACACAGTCAGAATTAAATGATCTTGTAAGAGATTTAGAACTTCCAAAATGTAAGGCAGAGTTACATGGATCAAGACTGCAGCAGTGGTACTTGTTAGAAGACGATGTTTCGGTATGTTTTTCGTAAACGCCACAAAGGCTTAGAACCATTTTTCAAAATATGGATAATAACTTGATTTTCTGCAGTAACATTAACGGCTTACTGGCGGCTTTAAATACAAGCTATAACCCAGAAGAATGGAGATTGTTTATAGACAGTTCAACATTGAGTTTAAAGGCAGTGTTATTGCATATTGGAAATATTTTACCATATCTTCCTTTAGGGTATGCAGTTCACATGAAAGAATCATATGACAATATGAAGTACCTATTGACATGCATAAAATACGATGAGCACCAATGGCATATTTGTGGCGATTTGAAAGTTGTTGCACTTTTACTTGGGCTGCAGCTAGGCTACACAAAGTTTTGCTGTTTTTTGTGTGAATGGGATAGTCGGGCAAAGGCACTTCATTACACCAGACAAAACTGGCCTGTTTGTCAATTCCTAGAGCCAGGTCAAAAAAATGTACAGCATATGCCATTAGTAGATTCGAAAAAAATTTTATTACCACCACTGCATATCAAGTTGGGCCTAATGAAAAACTTTGTCAAGGCATTAGATAGAGATGGGTCAGCTTTTCAATACCTGCGTCAGAAATTTCCAAGACTAAGTGAGGCAAAGGTTAAAGAAGGTATTTTTGTTGGGCCACAGATTCGAAATATTTTGAAAGATACACAGTTTGAAAACACTTTAACAGGTATTGAAA